TGGGAGGAGATCTTAGCCTCCGTCATTGCGCTCAAGTTTGAGAACCTTGGCCGCAAGGAGCAGCAGACACACCAGGGACGTCCGCTTTCTGTCCACAGACAAGCTACTCCACATCTTCAGGTCAGTGATGCTTAGAAGTTCACAGGCCTCAGAATCACCCGGAGGCTAAACCACAGCTTGCTGGGCCTCACACTGGGTTTCCGATTCAGTAGGTCTGAGATGGGACCTCAGAATTTGCATCTCTAACAAGCTCCCAGGTAAAGCTGGTGCTGCTGGTCCAGGACCACACTTTGAGGACCACCGTACTAGTTGATTTCTAAGGAATCTTCATGATACGGAGGCAGAGTGTGAGAACATTCTGATCATGAACCATGAGGTAAGAAGACAGGGTTCTGAAGTAGAAAGGGGTCAGGGCTCAAAGGCAGGCCAGCCTAGCAGAAAACTTAGACTTGCTCAAATGATCCACCAAAACATACTTTATGGACCTCTTACTCTTGCTTTCTTTCCTTTGCTTGCTTTTCTGCTTACTGCCCCCAGGAAAGGCAAGCCCGCTGGCAGCCCCAGCAAGGACAAAATGTGGTTCCCTCTCCCAGGCCCCTTCCTGAAGGGACGCGTTCACACAGCTAATCAGACTGTCAACATGCTGCTCAGCCCTCTGCGCCCTCTTCTGGGGGCTCCTGACACGTCTTAGAATTTACACAGGACGTAGTGAAGTCTTAAACTACATTTTTTTTCTCTTTTGAGATCATCTACTTCCTGACAGGATAAATTCAATGGAAAACATGCTCTGATCCTTCAGCTGCCTCTTCTTGACACAAACACAAGGAACTAATTAGCAGGCCTGCCCAGGAGGCAGGCAGAAAGGGGTTCATGACAGGACCACAGGCTGGGAAGCCACCATCAGGTAGGACCTCATGACTCACCCTTTGGCCATCACGTCAGGAGTTGGGTCCATATGTCAGTGGAGGGGAAACTGACGTGTGGGTGTCTGCCTGGTGTTACCATGGCATCTACTGGGCAAGTAGGTTCTGTTCATGATTTAGCTCCCTGTACATCTGAAAGCCCTTGACATCCCCACTTTCATGTGACTCTAACAAGAATCCTGCGAAATAAGCAGAATGGAACTGATGACCCCATTTGGTAGATAAGACAATTGAGAAGGACCTCAGAGAAAACTGGACATTGTATTCCTGGCTCAGCCACTCCTCGTGTGGTCTTGAGCAAGTCTCTTCCCCTTCCTAGGCTTCAGTTTTACCATCTGTGAAATGGAAGGAATGGACAAGGTGATTGGGAGGTCTCCTTATAGATAGATCTCTTATTCTGGGAGTAAGCTATACAAGGAAAAGGACTTGCCTGAGGTCATGCAATTAATGACACAGAGAAACCAGGGGGCCTCTATACTGTGTCTGTTGAGTGAGAGCCATCAGAGCACCCCCATCGCCACCCACTGCCATCTTCCTGACAGTGTGGGCCAACCAGGGCCTCCAGTTGCCCTCTGCCTTGCAAAGACCAACACCCCTGGGATGGTGTGGTAGGGGAACACGTGCTCAGAATGCTCCCTGACTGTGACTTAAAGCCCCAGTGATGCCAGCTGCTCATTAGAGAAGGCCATTTCCTCCGGCACCTCGTTTACCAGACAAACACAATGGACACCTACCCTGTGCCAGGCCCTGTGCTAGATGAGGGGATGTGGAAGGGAAGGAGGCTTGCTGTCCACCCGTGAGAAAGTCACAATGAGGAGAGTGAACACCGGCTGCTGCATCCGAGTCCAGCCCCCCGTCAGATCACAAAGCCCGTCCCTGGTAAGGGGCTGTGGCCCACGCAAAGGCACTAGCTGCAGCCCAGGTGAGCACAGTCCTCTTCAAGGCAAGCACAGTATCCATGAAACTTTAGGAGGGGTCAGTTTAGAGCCGTTCACATGTAGGCACTGTCCTCCAAACACACCAGGGAAAGCAGATGCACACGTCTGACCCCCACCAATTCATTGGCTGGAAGAATCCCGTGCTCTCTCTCTGAGAGTCAAACCTCCCAAGCACATGGAATCAATGAGCCCAGCTAGCTTCCTATCTGTAACGTGCTGGCCAATGACAATTCTTCCATTAGTTCAAGACAGTCAACACAATCAACTGGGCCATGTCTCAGGCACAGGATTAGACTCCCTGGAGGAAACCAAGATGAACATGACACGGCCATCAGGAACTAAGGAGCTCTCAGCCTAGGAGAGCATGGAAGACGCAGACACACACACAGTAAAACAGAGCAGAGAATGGTGGGCGCTAGAAGATCCAGGTTAGGGGGTGGGGAATTCAAAGGAAAGAATGACTCATTCCAACTGGAGACCCAGAAAGCCTTCGTGAAGGAGACAGCACACAGAAAGGTCATCCATCAAGAAACAAGAAGGCCAAGTTCTCCCATCCCTTCTGCCACAGTCAGCCAAGTAATCTTGAGAAAGCCAATTCTCTCCATTTTAAAATGGACCATTTGCCCAAAGTGCCTCACGGCATTTTGAGAATTAAATGAGAACTGATTTAAATGTACATCAGATAAATAAAGGCACCAAATATAAAGCTTTCATCATCACTCGGGGCAGAGCAGGGAGGAAGGTAAAAGCAGAAAGTATATGGGGGAGGAAGCAGGTGGGGGCACGGGACACCTGCCAAACGCAGTGCTGATGTGAACACCTACTGGGCTAGTAGCTGGCTCCAGTGATTTCTTTTTTAACCTCCCACGGCTAATTTTACTGAAGAGAGCACACGAAGAGGAAGTCAGAGCATCTGAATTCCTCTGCATCAGGAAGATGAAAGTTCCAACTGGAGAGGTGGCTCCCCACCCCTGAGTGACAGGAGCACAGCCACCTGCGGTGGTCCGTGAACCTGGGGCTCCTCCTGGGCTCCCAGCATAGGGCCTGGGCCCTGTGTACTCAGTAAACGCTCATTAGATGAATGGACGGGGTTCTTACTACTTTCCAAGGGGCTTTGCTTTCATGTTCCATTTTGATTCACAACCACAGGCCAGCAGGACAGGCAGGGAGCATATCATCATCCTCGTCAAAGATGGGGAGACGCAGGCTCGCAGAGGGTGACTGTCCACGTCGCAGTCAGCGCCTTCAGAAGGGAGCCCGCGACTCTGCCTCCTCAGACAGTATCACCTCCTCAGACAACCACACACCTCCTAAGAATTGCTGCCACAGCCGGTCTTTGCACCAGTGACCACCTTCCCTGATTTTCCCAAACGCTTACCACGTGCTGTTCTGCGCATGTTCCCTGTAATATTTCACTTAATCAGACCCTTTCATCGAGGAAGGTCCTATTATGACTCCCAAATGTACTGGTTTATTCCAATTCAGAAGGTGGTTTTGTGCATCCCAGAAATAAGAGTGTCATGGATTCTCTGGTCCTTTTACCAAATAAGAACTGATTTGGATTAAAACCGTTGGTTCAGTTGTTTGGGTTCGTTGTTCCTCAGAAGAAAGAGACATAGCACAGGGAGTTAGGAAGACCAGAAGGGCATGATTTTTTTTTTTTTTTTTTACCATGGACATTCCTTCCTACAGAGTCGGCTGTCACTTTTGACAGATGGCCTGGCTGCAGGAGGGGGGACAGAGAGCAAGCTCACGGTTAAGGCAGCACCAGGGAACTAGAGCCAGCTGGGCCGATTCGAGGTCTGAAATCTGGGCTGGACCCCAAGTTCCAGCCAGTCAGGGTGGGACAGGGAGCCCTGCTCCACCCACCCCCACCCCGCTGCAGCTGTACCAGGCAGGTCAACACGTTTCTTGGTGTCCGTGACCTTCTGGCTGCAGGCAAATAGGGTGGCGAGGGACAGCAGAGGAATGGGGCCTCAGAGGGAAAGCTGAAGCATGTTCAAGGTCAGAGCTACCCTCCCCTCTCATCACCCACCCCAGCCCCTTGGCTGATAACAGTTTATGGTGCACCTACTTCCTGAGGAATGTACTCATTCTAGTAAAAATTCATGATACAAAAGTTTTGGCAGCAGGCTGGAAGTCACAGCCACTCCACAGCTCTGTTGAGAGGTGCCTGGCTGAGGTGCTCAGAGACTCCCCTAAAGTGGCAGGAACTGAGGTAAGGGGAATAGAATTTCAGAGGACTCCCAGTTCCTGAAGGGCACAGTGGATTAGGTAAGAAGAGGTCTGGGGCCTTGAGAGCAAGTGTCAGTGTGGCCGGGTCAGCTCTGATCTCTGCTGCTGCTGGAGCATTTAGCCGCCCACCCCGTGTGGGGTCAGCACCATCCAGACACCCGTGGCTTTAGCGTCACACTAGGGGGCTAGTACATCAGGGGCCTGGGAGAGCCGAGCCATTAGCTGGATAATGTACACCAAGAGTTAGTTTATCAGATTCACCGTTTATGCCTCCGTCCACGGACAGAGGGAATGGAACACAGAGTGGAGCAGCTTTGATGGGAGGAGGGGGTGAGATGAGCCAGAGCAAAAGATTCAGTGGTGGGAAGCCTCCCAGGGAGTCCTGAGCAGAAAGTAGGCAGGGTAGGTGGTTAGGTGGATGGCAGGAAGAAGAGGGTGCTAGAGGCAAATTCACCAACTGCACAACGTTTTTGTTTTTTTTTTTTTGGCTGCGCCGCATGCCTTGTGGGATCCCAGTTCCCCAACCAGGGACTGAACCCGAGTCACAGCAGTGAAAGCCCGGAATCCTAACCACTAAACCACCAAGGAACTCCCCAGCAGCACAATTTTAAAGCCATAGAGTTTAGAGCTGTTTCATCTAATCCAACCCCTCTTGTACGGTCTTGAGTCATCGGTCACAGCCATGACTAATGGCCAGAACCATTAGACCAGACTAAGAACCAGAACTTCCCTGCTCCCCCAGCAACAACTCTGCAGCCCCGTGATCCTTCTAGCACCCTCCAGCCTCCCCCAAATACTGACCCCAGTCCTCTGATTCCACTGGAGCTAGGAATACCCTCTTGAACACTGAGCATTCTTGAGGATTACACGCACCACCCATATCAGCCGTTCTGGACAGACATACCTTGTGTGAATACTGCTGATCAACAATCCTCGCCAACCCGAAATCCCCAATCTTGAGCACGAGGTCCTCCGTGCTGATGAAGATGTTGGCGGGCTTCAGGTCCCTGTGCAGCACGTTGGCGGAGTGGATGTACTTGAGCCCTCGGAGCAGCTGGTACATGAAGAGCTTGGCGTGCTCCTCCGTCAGCGTGCCCTGCTCCAGCAGGCGCGCCAGGTCGGTTTCCATGTACTCCTGGACGATGTAGGCCACGCTGAACTTGAACAGCTCGCCCTGCAGGTCGGCACCCTTGGACCCCAGCACCTCATACACCTTCACGATGTTGTCGTGGTCCAGGCGGCGGATGATCTTGATCTCCCGGAGTGCATGCTTCACGCTGCGGGCGCCGCTTAGGGTGATTTTCTTCACAGCCACCTTCCGACGGGCCCTGCTGTCCACGGCCGACAGCACCAGCCCGTTGACGCCGAAACCCAGGGGTTGGAAGTCAACAAAGCGCCCGCCAAGGTCATACCCGTGCACGCTGGCGATGCAGTCGCCCTTCTCAGCCATCGTCGGCTCAGTGGTCAGGGGCTGACCGTGGGACGAAGGGGCAGTCAGGAAAGGCCAAGTCCCAGCTCGTGGCTTCCCCAGCACACCTCATTCTGTCAAGTCCCAAGGCTGAGGGACGCTTTTCCTCCGGGTGATGTCACTGCCACCAGCACCCTGGAGACAAGAGTGGCAAATGTCCATACTCGCTGAGCTGCAGAAGTTGGAGGCTCAGACTGTTTCCTTAACCTGTACTGGGAGGGCTGTCCACCGACTCCTATGTATCCTGAGCCTCCCTGGAAGCTTAGAATGGCTCATGATTCTTTCAAATGTAGCATCTTGGAAAGAAAAACCAGTCTCACTGTCTACGTGAATGTAAAGTTCTCTATCATGATGGACCACAAAGTAGAGATGCAGAAACTCTCCCCTTTAAATCCTTTGTTAAAAGAGGCTCCTTCTTGCTGAAATGTGGTGCCGTTGCTGAGCTGTGTTCTTTTACTTTCGATGGTCCAAAGCTCAGTGGTATCACAGCCTTCAGAAGCTTGGGAGCTGCCCTCTGTGTCCCGAGCAGTATGAAGAGATCCCAACAATGGATTCTAGAGGCTCGTAGGGACTTCTTTGTACCTCTGCCAGCTCTCCTTTCTACCAGCTCCTCTTAGATTCTGAAACCCAAACCAGTCTGTTGAGCATTGGTGAAGAAAGGTGGAGAAATCCAAGCACCTTTCATGAGCTCTACACCAAGTTACACCTGAAGTCCCAGACCTGAGGGCAGCTCAGCTGTCCAGCCAGGATCCTCTGGAGGCTTCAGATGTGGGCAGCATCCTCTGTCAACCGCTCATCCACACTACCTTGAATGAGACAGTGTTCTGCTGGACCCAGAGAGGCTGGCAGGAACGCAGCATCTTTCAGACCAAGTCTCCTTTCCTGTCAAAGAAACAATGTTTGGTAAATTTCCACACTTCAGCTTCCAGCACCTTCCCACTTGTGTGTCTTTTGTTAACCAGCCCAAGTGTTATTTGATCTGCCCAGCCAGCTGAAACACTGCTTGCTCAGGGGATTCCAGGCTTTGCACTGCCCAGCCACACCGCCTGCTGTGTGCAGCGCTCCCCTGGAAGGGAGAGAAGATGGATTGATTTGATAAGACCATCAACTGGTGTGCCTTTTATGTAAATGCCTGCTCCCCGAAGGTTAATATGCACAAACTGTGGGTGGCAATGATCAGCTCTGACCTTTGTGAAAATCATTTGTTATGCTCTCCAGACACACACAGCAGCACTAGCTGAGAAGGGTGAGAGTAAAAAGTAACTAGTTGCAGACAGAAAATAAAGGATCAATAATTTTGCTTTTCTACTTGGACCCCTTTTCTTCCTTCTTTTGAAAATGTCTTTGACTATTTTGAGAGAAATTGCCATGCACTGAGATTTAATTACTTTGTATCTGTTGCTGCCCATGTAGGCAGCATAAGCATACATACCAGATTATAAGGAAATTTTATTGCCACCCTGGAATAGGGACTTTCTGCACAGCAAAGCAGCGCACAGACTTCTTAGCATGACACCAGGGCTGGCATGGTGAACTGTATTCTTTTTGATAATGGGGACCTAGCTCTTCAAAGCAATGAGTCAGATCATATCCTGACTGCCCCCTGGTGGCTGCTGACTCAAATTACAGGCATAGGACATAAGTGGGGAGAAAAAAATAGCAAAACTAGCAATGTAAATTCAGACCTCGGAAGTAAAGGCAATATCATAGCTTCTAAGGAAGTGACAGGTTTTATAAGTTTATAAAGTCCACACACACACAGAGAACAAACACTATATCCTGTGCAAAGGACTGAATCTAGCCAGGGCTGCTTCTTAATTCCCATAATCCTGTAGGGTCCCCTGTAGGGATACTTGCACATCTGAACTCTGCAAATGATAAATGAAGCAAAACAACAGTCAACTCAATGTTCTAAAATCAAGGGGGAAAATTAGGGGACAGAGATGACCTGAAATAGTAAATAATCATATGCCCTCTAAAGACTACTAATGAAAGAAATTTACCAAGAGTCTGGAACATAGTAATTGCTCAACAGATGTTACCTGTTGTTGCTATTGTTAAAAGTTCCCTTATGCTTGAATAAGATGTACCTAATATTCTGATGTTTCATCAATCTTCAGCAATTCTCCTCTGCATGTTTTTATCGGGCCCAGCAGGAAAATAATCAGGACTTAAGACTGGGAAATAATCCTAACAAACAAGTCCTGTGGCCCTCAACTGGGGGCGGTCCTGCCTTCCTTAGCTGCTCTGACGAGGAGTCACTACAGGCCTTTAATGAGCAGGGCCAGATTTGCCAATCATCCCGCTGAGCATCACTATCAGTGAATAACGGACACCCACCCCCCCAAATGCCAGCATCTCCACTGAGAGACTACGATTCTAGTCTGAGTTCTCACTTTACAGATAAGGGCACTGAAGCTCAAGGAACACCAGCTCAGTGCTTCTAGCATAGACAGGGTCAGTAAACATTTGATGAATTGATAAATGAATACCATTCACTCTGAGGATTCCTAGCCAGTTAGAGACAGTGCTGGGACCACCCACTGAGCCTGTCTATGGCCTGTGCTGTGAAGTCCACCTGGACACCTAATTTAGGGGAACAAAAGAGCCACCTGGGGCCCCGTTCCATCCCTCCTCCAACTCCTGCTGCCCAAGTCTGGTAAAAGAAACTAAACTGGAACACCTTTCACTTTCTACCCATATACTTGTCCTGATTCCCAAGGGCAGAGCAAACAGAGGAAATTATATATTGCTTTATAAGGGGAGATGCTGAAGCCTTCTTCCCTTTCCGGCTCCCAATGCGCTGTAAACAGAGATGGGAATGAGCACCTAAGCAGGGAGATGACATCACCAGCAAGCTGAAGGCAGGATTTGTTCCAGATCAGCTGCAGTGCAGATAATCTGTGGATAATTAAGAGGGGCTTTATTTATTTTTAAAACTCTTTCTTCTTCCTCTCACAGGGGGAGGAAATATCTCTGTGTGTGTGTGTGTGTGTGTGTGTGTGTGTGTGTGTGTGTGTGTCTCAGTGGTCTGCCCAACATGCTATCAGCAGGACCCCCATCCCCTTGGGAAGGCTCGATTCCAGCCAATCCACCATCCTCATGGCCTCTAAATACACTCTTTTAGTTCCCATCCTGCTTCTTTGCTTGCACCTTTCTGGTTCCTGAAATATCCTGCTTCTTCCCCACTTGTTAAAATCCTGTCCATCATTCCAAATCCAGATGAAGTCTCACTTCCTCTCTGAAGTGTCCTCAGTGACATTCCTCCCTTCTCTGAACTCCAGTGTGTTTGTGTGTGTATACTGTATTTGACACTTACCATATACTAATCTGGGCTGTTATTTAACTTTTTATACATGTCCATCTCTCAACTAGGCTTTAAGTTTCTCAAGCCCAGGACACAAAGTAGTGCTTAGGACATAACTGTGAATTGGAGTTACCTGAGGTGCATTTGTTATGTCTACAAAACCGTGATGCCTACCTTCCCTAGACGGTCAGCCTCCTCCCCTTTCCATCACTGCCCCAATGCAACATGTTCATTGCAACAGGGATCTTCACACAACAAGCCCCAACTGCTCAGACAAACCAATATCTCTGAACTTCAGTATCATCTGCTTAGATGCTGCCTCTCTTAGCATTTCAACACGAACAAGGCAGCCCTCATCCGACCATTTCTCTGTTCCCATTTGAGTTTACTGTTATTCATCTCTTCTCAAACCTCCTTATTTTAAGCTTTCCCCTATCATTCCTCTATAATTTCTACCATAAACCCTTTGCCTTTCCCCACAGGTGGACTGATTATGAAATGCCGATTACCTAAGAAATCTCGGATTAGGGCTCTTTTCTTGCATGGTGTACCAAGAGGCGTGGGCCCATCGGCCCTGGAGAGGGGCATATCCGGCATCTGGATGTGCCCACCTGGGTAGAGGAGTGAGTATGGCAGCTCTTGGTGTGATGCAGCATCTCAGGGCAAAGCACAGTCATTCTCCATTTGGGGGTGGTGGCTCACAGCTGCTCTGAATCACAGGTGTGATTTGGAACCAGGGAGCTGGCATTCACCTTGAGAGGTGAAAAGGTCATGGGTTCAGCTGTGCTCACATGACAGTCAGTGAGAACACATGTAACTCTTCCAAGGGCAGCAAGGCTCCCACAATTCCATGGTGAATATCGTAATAAACATAGGAGTAGAAATCTCTACCCCAGGACTCCTAGCAATGGTGCTTCTTTTCTCCACTGATTTCTCACCAACTTTCCATCAGTCTCTTATCTGAGGCCAATTAATTATCCTCTCATGCATCCAGCCTTTTAACATGTGGAGGCAAACCAGAGATTGGTGGTGTGTGCCAATTGTCCCTTTCTGGGATTCCCGGGGCTCTAGTTTACAAAGTGGCTTTGGAGAGTCTAAATTTAGACTCACCTCCTCTGCCTGCTCTGATCCTCCCAAACCTCAGGCTGGTGGCTTACAGCAGGAACTAAGTCCTCCAGCATTGGAGGCCTTGTCTGGAGGACATTTCCCAGATACTGCTTTCTTCCCTCTCCTGAGCACCCAAAAACTTGCAGGAAAACCTTCCCTGGCAGGGCTGATGTTTACAGTTGAACTGGCTGTACACTGCACAATTCCAGGTAGTACCATTCATATCAGTCAAGTCTGTCTGACTCGAAGTTCCGTGATCCTAATTGCTGCAGTCTATGTGAATGAAGTCCCTAGACCAGAGATTGGCAATTTTTTTTCTATAAAGGGCTAGAGAATAAAAATCTTAGGCTTTGTAGGACAAATAGTCTCTGTTACAATTATTCAACACTGCCTTTGCATCACAAAAGCAGCCACAGACAATACCCAAATGAATGGCATGGCTCTGTTTCAATAAAACTTTGTTTACAAAAATAGGTGGGGGGCTGGATTGGGCCAGGGGGTAAGTTGCTCTAGACCCCTGCTCTAGATTGTGTAGGAATGCCCTCTAGCTTGTTCCCAAGGAGGCACT